CTGATTTAATCCAACTGTAATTATCGTTCCACCTTTGAATGCACATATATATCTAAATTATAACCAGAATTTTATACCCCTTCCAACCTCATTGCCTTCACATTTTCCTTCTTTAAGTTCTCTTCTATCAAGCAAGTATACATTTTTGAGTAATCTTCTCATTAATATAAATCCCCAACTCATCCACCTGACCCTCCCTCTCATGCAGGCCCATTATTTTAGCCTCCTTTGATCTTAAGTCTAAAGTCTCTCTCTCTGCTGCTTCCGCTGCTCCAGCGAGCTGGGCTTCCATCTGCATATTCTCCCCCTCCACTTTATTTCCTGAAATCATCGTCTTAATTTCAAGGGTCTGGGTATTCATGTGATCCTTAAATTGATTGGCAATGTTTATTTGAAACTCCTGTATGTAATTCTTGAAGGGATCTTCCATTGTAAGTATTGATGCGCTTGTACATTAAATAAGGGCTTTTTAAATATAAATTTAATGTGTAATAACGCTTTCTGCTACAGAGTAAAAGAGTTCTTCGGTTTTCTCCCAAGTCCACCAAGTCCAGCTTTTTATTTATGTATTCATTTTCCCCTTTCCTGTACTGCCACTTCAGTCAGAAGCCATAAAACAGTAAAACCATTAATCAGTTCACCCTCATGTTAAGTGAATCAGCCCAGACTCAGACTCCCACTAACACATCCAGTTGTAAATCCAACTTCGGCCAGGAACAGTTTTAATTTCTAATCAACCGTTCACAGCTCATAGCAAGATCACTTAAGGTGGGAATTCCCAATCTTCTTAAACGTCTAATTTTATAATATGATAGTTATGCCATCCAGGGAGGACAGGGGGATGAAAAAAAGATCTCCATCTATGTATTTAACTAGTTTCTGTTTCTGTTTCTCTCAGATGTGACGCAGTAAATATTTGCTGATATTTCAGAGATACAAATGCTTCTTTGTCGCTTTTGTTTATTTTTCTCTCCTTTAAAATCAGCCTCTTAAGTTTGATTTCTACTTGCTGAAGCTGAATAGAAAGTCAGTTACTCACTGTTCATGTAGTGAGGCATAAATCTTCTTCACACACCTCCCCTCCTGGCAAAGCTAGGCAGCTGATTCACCAGGCATGGTGTCTCCCGAGCCAATTGCTTTGAGGAAGGAAACTCTCATGAAGACAGATTTGCTGTCTGAATTCGGAGGTTTCCCAGCCCTACTTGCTATAAGTCCACTCTCCCGTGAAAAATTGCCCCCCCCTTCACTTATGGGAGGGTCTGGTGAATCAGAGTTTACACAGGAGTTCCCAGAGACCTAGGATTCCCCTGTTCTTACTGCCGTTGCTCCTCCCCCTTCACCTCCCTCTTCACATAGTGCATCATTAAATGATGAAATTTCTGATCACCATAAAAGGTGATGACGGCCACTGACCTATACAAGTTTAGAAGAGGATTAGATAAATGTATGTGCGACAATGTTCACTGGACACGTGGTTGTCTTTTCTTTTTTGTAGCTTGCACAAGCTAGCTTGCTGTTAAGTACACTCATTTGCATGTGGAAGATGTGTTCCATTAAACACTGCAATCTCCAGTGCATTTGCCACTTTAAAGGCTGTGACCTGCAGCATCATATGCACCCCTTCCACTCCTTGCCAAAGGAAATACTTTAGAGGGAGGATGCAACAGACTGGGGTCCACACAAAAAAGGCTATAGGGTTTGTGGCCCACTCCAGCCTGGTGAGACGTCCTCTTAGCTCTCAGCATATCCATGGAGTGCTTTTCTGGATGCCTCCCATGACCAAATTCCTCAATGAAACATTTCTAGATTTGATTAGTTGAGTGCCCGCTTTTGGAATGGACCTCAAAACAGCTGTTTCTGAGGAGAAGGAGATTTTTTTCTTCCTAAACAAATTTCACCTCTTTCCCAAAATACAGGTTTTTAATTTTCAAGCAGGTGAAATGACTGAAAAGTGTTGCTTCATGCATCTACTTAGAGGTGTGCTTTTGTGGCTTATTTGCTTTTTATAGGGCTAGACTTCAATTGGTATTTGTATGTTTACATATCTTACTGTAGATAATTATGGATAATTGATGAGGTGCTGGGGTGCATCTTGGCTTCCAATCAGATGCCTAACTTGGCATGCAACCAAGATGTTCCCTGGCACCATGTCAACTAGCCACAGTTAGCTGCATCAAATTCCACAAACCTTATGTGAACACCAATATGATTCTGACCACTCTTTTAAAGGACAGTGGTGTCTCGATTAGGATATTCAAAAGCAAGCATGAGAAGTGATCCAAGTATTTTAGCAGCTGTGCGGAAGTCACTAAAGTAGTTCCACACAGCTGTACTCCATATTAAAACTATAATTTTTGTAAGATGCTTTTGAATCTAGGCATTTTTACTCTGTCCCTTTCATGTATTCCTGCTGTTACCCATGTAACTCTTGCATAAAATTTAATAATTCACAACCTGGACCCATAGGAATGGCAAATTAGGTATTTTATATAAGGAGAAAGGTGAATTTTTTCCAATGCCATCTCTAAATGTGCTGACCAGATCAGTATGTTACTCAAGCAGACTGGTAGATGCATAAGTATCAAATTAACTAGTTTTCAGTAGAGTATATTCCAGAGATGGGGACTCAAGTTGTGTGACTTGCTGTCAAGTCAGACTTAAGTTGCACTGGTGATTCGAGTCAGGTTTTTTTAACCAATGACTTGGACTCGACTTGTGACTCAAAACCTACCAACCCTTTTTTTTCTGGAGAAAAAAAAAACTTGTTTTTAATAGAGACTCTGACTTGAGATATGGGATTTGGTACCAAAGACTAAGATTCGGACTTGGAACTCAGACCCAAAGACTTGCCAACATCCCTGGTATATTAATTTAAAAATCAAGCTGAAAGGAGTTCAGGGATCATTGCTTTTTACAATAAAAGATAATGCAGCCTCATAACTCCTCCAGATGCAGCAGTTGTTCTGCCAACGATCTTGCTGGAATTTTCCTAATGTGCAAATGATGTTCCTGTTATCTCACTTTGCATTGTCTTCCAATTCCAGGTTTTTGCTCCTTTTTCTCCATCTGCAAATGCTTGGTTATTTTTTTTGTGCCATTTTGTTGCAGGGGTTGTAGCCTTAAGTGTTAGGGCACTTTCCAGGCACCTTAACAGGCAAGGTTTGTTTAGATGCCCAAAGACCCTGCTCTTCTCTGATGGCAGGTAGCTGCTTTGCTGAAAAAGCAAAAAAAGCAAAGCAAAGCGTGCTGCTTATCTACAGCCCCATAGTGCTTCAAGCACTCTCTGGGTGGTTTACAAGTTAATTATGCAGGCTACACATTGCCCCCCCCCAGCGAGCTGCTGGGTACTCATTTTACTGACCTCGGAAGGATAGAAGGCTGAGTCAACCTTGAGCTGGCTACCTGGGATTTGAACCCCAGGTCGTGAGCACAGTTTTGGCTGCAGTACAGCGGTTTAATCACTGGTTTTGCATGACCATTCTCCACACTCTCATCCTGCATTACACAAAAGGCACATCCATGTGTGTACACATACACAGACACACTCTTTTCTCACAGCTGATTCCTCACTGGCATTTTCCTTGCTCCAGCTTGCTAGCAGGTCTTTCAAGTGTTGTAATGAAAAGATATCTTCACCTTCATTAACCCAATAAATCAAACTTTTTTGGGGGGTAATCTTCAGCAGAAAGACAGGATAAGATGCTGATGAAATGTTGAAAAGCACTGAACCCACCTTATGGACTACTTAATAGTTAGGATGTGAATTCTGGAAAATAGAATGAGTTCCTCTCACCAAGTGACAGAAAAGGAAGTAAAAGAAAGTCAGAACAAAAGCTGTGTCTGGAATAGCTCTTAATTTCTACAACTTCCCTAAAGC